CACTGGACAAAGGATCAGTTCTAGCTCATGTTTACACTTGGTTGGAAAAAATGAGGATTGTGTTTTGAGAAATATGGTTGATTTAATTTAGGTAATAACAGGTAAAATATCCAAGCACAAATGGCCAATAATTATCTTTTACTACGACGATGTTTTAACCCTTTGGTGACTGATTTAACCCTTTGATGACTATGATTTAAACCTTCAGGACTCAAAGGGTTAAAACAGGGCCAAGTACATGTGCCAATAGTTACAAGCATTATAAGAAAACAGTACTTTAGTAAATCAGAGTAAAGTAGGAAATATTCTTGACATTTACTGTAATATACGATTTAATCTTGCGTAAAATACAGGTGAAATACAGCTGACATTATCCTCTAGTCCAGAATGACACCACCACACATCACGCTGGCATGAATACAGATTATTTCATTCGTGTTTTAGTTAATGTTATTGTTTTGTTAAATTCCTTTTGTATTTGTTGGTAGAAGTTAATTTTACATGTTTATGGTAAGCCACATTGCTTGTTGTAGTTGTTATTGTATTCTGAGTTTTTGCACAAGTGTTGCCTAACTGTCAAATTGGCACCTTACGGAAATTTGAGGCTGGTGAATAACCCTAACCTAACCTAACCTAACCTAACCAGAATATTTAAAGGAGGGGGAAGGGGTAAAAAAAAATGGGGCTGGCCAAACAATTTTATCTGCAGTTAAAATTTTTTGACCTGTGACCGTTTTCATTTTTCCACCAACACAAATATTTTGGTGAGAAGTCGACTATTAAATCTACAGTGACGAGAATTGGTTGTGTTAATGACGTGTATGTGGATGAGAAGGGTAGACTTTGTGGATGAGGAAGGTAGGCTGGGTGTGGCTCAGGACAGTAGGCTGAAAGTGGATCAGGACAGTAGGCTGAAAGTGTGTGTGTGTGTGTGTGTGTGTGTTAGAAATGTGCTTAAATGTATATATGTGTGCATGTACTATGTTAGAATATGTGTATGTATGCATGTATGTATATTAGTGTGTGTGTGTGTGTGTGTGTGTCCATATAAACAACTTACACAAATTTGTTCATACTTGGATAATAATAAAAGAATGACTTGAGTGTTGGTGCTTAATCAACTTTTGGTCATCACAACATTAACATTACTGACTTCTTTACATTATCTCGAATTAAATATCACTTTAATTGACTCTCATTAACGACATAATATTCAATTACGTCTGATGGATGAGTAAACATCGGCTTATGTACAGTCACTCAAAAAATTATGTATACAAAATCGTGTTTAAAAAATATGACACAACGGACGATGGATTTTGATAACCCTACCGAGACAACAGGAGTCACAGTGTTCATTCTGAGACTCATCGATCACCCCGAGTACAGATAGTTTATTGAGTGACTGTACATTCAATAGTCATAATCTTTAGACAAACCGGATTTAATATTTTTGGAGTATACGAACCAGACAATTTCCTGTATAATGTATTAGTGTGGGAACAAATATTTATATACACATTATATAATGGAGATATCTACAGTGATTGATTTTGATAAACATTTGATTTATATAAGATAGTTTTAAGTTACCGTTTAGATAATTAAATGATATTGATCTATTACACCAACTATTGTGATACAGCAGCCATTAATTGTGGTACAGTAGCCATTAATTGTGGTACAGTAGTCAATAATTGTGGTACAACAGCTATTAATTGTGGCACAGGAACTATTGTGGTACAGCAACCACAATTAAATTTGTGGTATAGCAGCCGTTGTGTTACAGCAACTATTAATTGTGGTACAGCAGCCATTAATTGTGGTACAGTAGCTATTAATTGTGGTACAGCAGCCATTAATTGTGGTACAGTAGCTATTAATTAAGGTATAGCAGCCATTAATTGTGGCACAGCAGCCAGTTATTGTGGTACAGCAGCCAGTTATTGTGGTACAGTAGCCATTAATTGTGGTACAGCAGCCAATTATTGTGGTACAGCAGCCATTAATCACCCGAATATGACAAAGATAAAGTACACGATCACTGACAGCCCTGAGGCGAGGATACAAAACTTAGCAAACTCTGTATCACTCAAGAAATCCGAAAACTCTTGTAACTCTTGCGTCTTATCTAACTCCTCTCCTGTTCCCCAGTTATCGCCACTTTCTCCCAGTTCCCAGTTATGGCCTCTCTCTCCCAGTTCCCAGTTATGGCCTCTCTCTCCCAGTTCCCATCTTTCCTTGTGATAGCTGGTGCTGTCTCTTAGCTCAGGATAACGTGTCTTTTCCATAGATCCTCTTCTGTTGTCTCTCACTCCTTCGCCGCCTCCCAGTGTCAACAAGTCTTCCAGGTTAGCAAATGGAGCGAGTTTCACATTCCTGACGTTTGTTTTGTCGCTCTGAGCTGTTGTTTCTGGTGCTTCGGGGAGCTTGGCGGGTGATGGATGGTAGGGTGGGAGGTCGAGAAGCAGTGGCCGGTCCTGCTGTTGGATATCGTATTCTATTTCCACCAGGGTTTCTTCCAGCAGTCCAAGGTCAGCGTCTGAGTTCGTCTCGTCGTTTCCTTCCTCCATTTCACTTGTCTCTTTTTCTAGAGGGACTTGCTTTTGTTTTTCATTGGGTGTTTCAGTCGTGGTGTTGACTGTTGAGTTATTCATTGTCTGTTGGATCGCTGCGTTCTTCACTTCGTCGTCAACTTGAACCAACTGTGCCTCAGTAACCTCGACATCATCGGAAGATTGACGGTCTTCTTCTTTTTCTCTGTTTGTGTTCTTGTCTTCTATACCCACTTCCATTCTTTTCGGTTCTTGTGACTCACTTTTTATTTCACCAGTAAATTTTTCGTTCGAGTTGCTATCGTTTTGTTTGTCATCACTTTGTATCGCTGCAGTAGAAGTAGGAACCTCTGGCTTATTTTCTATGTATCCATCTGATAAGCTTGACAAGGCTTCCTCTATGTGACGGTCATCATATATCTCACCACTTTTCATGCTTTGGTTAGACTCATGTTGTGCCATTATTTCTGGCTTTATTTCCTCAGTTCTCCCACTTACTTCTATAATAGTTACGTCTTCTTGACTCCCTGTGGCTTCTATTACTTCATCAGCTTTATGGTTTTCATTTTCGGAATTCTGATCAGTTAATCCATTTTCTCCAGTGTCTGCGGTCTTCATTAAATTTGCTTTGGTCTCGCAAAGAAAATCAATATTTGTTCCATTTTCTTTGGTAACAACATATGTGTTGCTCCCTTCCAGTGTTTCCGTCGGATCTGAATCATTATCTATGGATTCAGGTGACTCTCTTCTCACGGATTCAACTTCCTTATCTTCTTCCTTAATCGAAACTTCTGTTCTATGCTCTTTTGATTTGCCATGTAAATTGATATGTTCCAGGGCGCCAGCCGCCACAGTTACCCAGTCTACTATAGTTTCCTCTCCCACAAGAACGCCGATAGACTCAGCGTTTTCTCTAACTGTTGTGGCAGAGTCATTTTCTTTCTCTGGCATTTTCTGGTGGCACTTATCTTCACATTTAACTGGTTCTGTTGGGTTTACCATCCTAACATCCACTATGGGTGCTTCTAGCATTTCATGAATATCTCTCTCTTCAATATCAGAGGAGGAGGCGTCATCTTCTTCTTGGTGTCTGAGGCTGTTGTGTAATTCACGTAGTTCGTCCCCAAGTAGGATATCCTCGGTGTCGTCCATCTCATCTGAGTCATTGCCTCTGAGAATGCTTCCCTCTGAGTCCGAGTCTGTGTAATATTGAAAGTGTTGGTCATCGCCAGGGAACCCACTAGAATCACTTGGGTCACCCTGGCTAGCTAGACGAAAATCCTGCTGCTTATCGGATGTATTTTTCTTCCCTTTGCTCTTACTTTCTCCCTTTATGGAGTAAATGTTGTTATTGCCCGAGTTGAAGAAGCAGAGCTCATCAGCGTGAAGTTTGCGACAGTTTTGTGGCAGAGACTTGGAAGACTTAGTTGGGTCTTCAGACTCGGCTAAGGCAGCTACCCGGGTCTTCTTCTCTCTCAGCGATCCACTTCGAGGTTTTGTGAACGGAGGAGGGTCTGCTTTCTTTGCCCTGAGGCTCTGACTCCTGATAAACGGGTCAACTGTGTTACCCATCTCGAAGAATTGCAGCTCATCAGTTTTGAGAGTGCGGACTTTCCCGGGCATGACCGTGACTGCAATCGTCGGGATTGGTGCATCTTTCTTCGTTTTAGCAACAGAGGAAGAGGAGTCGCTGCCAGCTTCTTCGGAATCCGAGGACAAGCAGCCATGACTTCTCTCAGGATTCTTGTTAATGTTAGCAAATTTGTCGACAAGAGCTGTGACATCCGAATGTCTCCTGTCGTTTCCTTGAGCCAGTGACAGGTAATGAACTTCCTCACGATGGCCCTCCTCCACCTCCTGTTTCTTGTTTATATTAGCAAATTTATCAACAAGAGCATTAACATCAGAGTACCGCCTGTTGTATCCATCGTCCAGCAATATGTTATGACCATCATCGCGGTGTCCTTCTTCAAAGTCAAACTCTCGGCCGCTGGTAAACTTATCAATGAGCTGACCTACTTTATGGTCTGTGTTCTCCTTGTCAGAGCCGAGGTCATCTGAATGGGCCGAGTTACTTCTAGGTCGGTCATTACCCGATTCGTTCTCCTGGATATTGGCAAATTTGTCGATAAGCATTTCCACCTTCCTCTCTTCAGTGCCTTCTCCAGGGCCTTCCTGGGTTTCTGGGATTCGGATATGTCTCTGACTCGCCTCTTCGTATCCTTCGGTCTTAACATCGTGGTCAGCTATTTGTTCCTCCTCTTGTCGGCCACGTTCTACCTCTTCATTCTGTCTTTCACTGATTTCTCTCCCTATCTTCTCGCTTTCTTTTCGTTCTTGCTCCTCTCTTTCTTTCTCTCTCTGTTGTTCGTCTCTTCTTTCTGTTTCTAAACATTCTTTTTCTACTTCTTCCTTTTCTTCCTGCTCTACTTTCTCTTTCTCCTTCCTCTCGTTTTCCATTTTCTCTCTCTCTTGTCGATCTAATTCTGCTTTCTCTTTCTTGATTAATGCTCGTATTGCTTTCTCCTTCTCCTTTATTGCCTTCTCTGCTTCCTCCCTCTTCTTACGCTCTTGTTCCTCTCTCTCTTTCTCCTTTTGTTGTTGTGCTTTCTCTTTATCCTTACGTACTTTCTCTGTATTTTCCTTCTTAAGCTCTTTTTCCACCCTCTCTTTCTCCTTCCGTTCCTGTTCTGCTTTCTCCTTCATCTGTTCCCTTTCTGAATTTTCCCTTTCCTTCCTTTCTATTTCTGCTTGGTGAAGTTCCCTCCTCTTCTGCTCTTCCTCTTCATTTTCCATTCTGTCTTTCTCTCTTTCCTTCTCATCTTCTTCTACATATTTATCTTCCATCTTCGTTTGTTCTTCTCTTTGATTTCCCTCTATCTCTAACTCTCTAAGTGCCCAGTATTCTGCAATCTTCTTCTTCGTCTCTCTTGTATCTATGTCCTTCGGTATAACTGTCTTTGTCGTGTCTTCGTCATCATCGTCGCTGGACCACGCTGTTTTACTCTCCTGTATTCCAGGTAGCAGGGTCGCCTTGTCAACATCTGAAGAACTACTGCAGCTGTCGACATCGAAGTCCATCTCGGAGTCTTGGCTTATATCTAGCTTCGCTTCTGAGTCTCGTGTGGAAGACTCCCCGAGGGATAGGGATAAAATCTCTCCGGCTGGTTTTGCTTCATCTGGAGGTTTATTTTCGAATGTAAACTTCCGATCTACTTGAGTTTTGTGTTCCTCAGGCGAGAGTGTCTCAAACTGACGTAGGATGTTCCGTACTGAAGTTCCGTAATGGATTTCTTGAGTAAGGGTGTGATTTAGTCTTTCTTTCTTCTGGTCTTCGGTCTCCTGGGGGTCAAAAGCGTCCTCGAAGGGTGACCTGAGCTCCATCTTGATGGTCATGCGTGGTTTGCTAGGTACGTCTCTACCAGCACTCTTGGTGTGAGACTGAGTTGAGGATGCTTTTTCGAATTGTTTCCTCAGTTTTCTCACTGACGGAGTAGCTTGGGAGTCCACGATCACCTCCGGAGTAAGTGGTGCAGGACTTGTGTCACGACCTTCAACTCTTGGAGGCTTGAGTTCGCGAGGAGGAGTACTGGGCTTCTCACTCCGTTTGTCTATGTTGTCTTGGTCGCTCACCCCAGTTACTTCAGTCTGAACTTTGGTATGTCCAGCCGTCAGCTTCTCTTTCCTCTTCTGATACGCCCTGTGTGGGGAGGTTGGTGCCTTGATCGAAGCGGCCTCTATCGTTGCTTGCTGCTCAAACTGCATCTTCAGCTTTCTCACTGACACAGGTATTGTCTCTGAGTTTAGACGCCGGATAGATGATGGGTCCGGCTCACTCTTTGCTCTGGGACGAAAGCCTTTACCATCGTTTTTTCTTTTTTGCCTTGACTCTCGTTCAGGTCGTTTTTCTACAATCATTATCGGTTTTGATGCTGGACACGGCGATGTTCCACTCGTGTCCTGCCAGACGGTGTCACCACTGGCTGTGTGGGTCTCACTGGAGAGGGTAGTGTTAGGTAAGTCGTCTGGAAGTGACTGGGGTGACTTTTCGAACTGTTGTAAACGTTTCTTGATAGACTTTGGAGGGGTTTCCAGCATTTTTGACGAAGACTTATCTGTCGGTGTTTCTGCCGATTTTCCTAGACTTCCTGGTTTAATTGGAGTTTCCTTGTTTATGAAAGGTTTGGATGGTGAGAGTTTTGCAGCTGGACTGTCCATGACATCACTATCGGAAGTAATGTGTTGAGCTGCCACCGGACTTCCCCAGCTTGCAGTCTCATCCGCACTCTGGGAGTCTGTTTCACTTTTTCCATCGAACTTATTCCTAAGGCTCTTGACAGAGGGTAAAGTACCTGCAGGGAATTCGTTTCTAACATCCCTCAGCTTCTTCTTACGCACCGCCCACAGATGTCCGTCTGAAGCAGATCGTGTGAGTTTATTATGATCTTCCTGGGAATGATCACTTTGGTTGGTTATGGTCATGGTAACATATGCACTCGTAGAATCCGAACACTCGCTCATATCTTGGCTCGACCTTGGATTAAGCGACTTGGTCGTCACGGGTGGAAGAGACGAATTGGATGGGCTTATACTCAAGTTATTTTCCAGTCCAGAGTGAGGGGCTGGTGGTGATGATGACGATGCTTTCAGTATTCGTGTAGCTGGATCACCTCCCCGCCTCAGTGATGGCATGGACTTGGTACGCAGGAGGCGCAGAAGAGAACCGTCTTCTTTAAACGTAGATTGACTTTGATCTGAACCTTCGTACGGGATCGATTTTGTCCTCCATACTGCCGTCAGCTTAGGTTTGGACGATAACCTCTTAGGTCGTCCTGACATGTCGCTGACGATCGCTTTATCTAATGTTATGTTGCCTGACAACTTTGCAATGACGTAGGACGCAAACGACGATGTTGACATCTGTATCTTACGGCCGGCCCGCACCACCTGTAACACAAGAACACTTTTAGACTTAGATATCCACACTCATTATTGTTTAGTAATAATATACATGATAAAGATAATGTGATTCAGAAACACCTGCCGTGAAACACATGCTATGAAACACCTGCCATGAAACACCTGCTATGAAACACCTGCTATGAAACACCTGCTATTGCTATAAATAAACAAACACCATTACAACGTTTCTACTCTAGATTAAATTATTCACCCATCATACATCTGGACGCCAATGACCTGACATCCACCAGAGAAAAATGTATGTCACCTGAATATCTTATCCTCAGGACACAAAACATTTAATATATACCTAAAAATAATAATGATGTTTACTTATACCCCATAACGCTGAGGAAATATACCTAGGGCGTATATACATATTGAAATAGCCAAAACAACTCTTTCCTATCGACTTACACACAACACTACAGTTCTTCAGAGACACGTGTGTTCCTTCTCCGGTATGATACGCCTCCCGAGCTTTTGTTTATTAAGAGTGTATTATAGGACACCTGGCTGTGTCCACTAACCTTAACCCAACCTATTTCTCTTACATGACCATTAACCTCGTCTAGTATGTTTACACGAGAGAAACCTTAACTAACTTTAACAGGTGAGTCAGTAACAGTAACACACACAGGTGAGTCAGTAACACACACAGAGGTAAGACAGTAACAGCTACTCATACAGGTGAATCAGTAACAGTAACACACAGTAACAGTAACACACACAGGTAAAACAGTAACAGTAACACACACAGGTAAGACAGTAACAGCTACACATACAGACAGTAACAGCTACACACAGTAACAGCTACACATACACGTGAATCAGTAACAGTACACATACACAGTAACAGTAACAGCTACACATACACGTGAGTCAGTAACAGCTACACACACACGTGAGTCAGTAACAGCTACACATAACAAGTCAGTAACAGCTACACATACACGTGAGTTAGTAACAGTAACAGCTACACATAACACGTGAGTCAGTAACAGTAACAGCTACACATGCTACGAGTCAGTACACAGTAACAGCTGTGCTAACATAAAAGTGAGTCAGTAACAATAACACCTACACATATACGTGAGTCAGTAATAAAGCAACAGCTACACATACAGGTGAGTCAATAACAGTAACAGCAACACATGCACGTGAGTCAGTAACAGTAACAGCTACACATACAGGTGTGAGTCAGTAATGTAACAGCAACACATACACGTGAGTCAGTAACAGTAACAGCTACACATACACGTGAGTCAGTAACAGTAACAGCTACACATACACGTGAGTCAACAACAGTAACTGCTACACATACACGTGAGTCAGTAACAGTAACAGCTACACATACACGTGAGTCAGTAACAGCTACACATACACGTGAGTCAGTAACAGTAACAGCTACACATACACGTGAGTCAATAACAGTAACTGCTACACATACACGTGAGTCAGTAACAGTAACAGCTACACATACAGGTGAGTCAGTAACAGCTACACATACACGTGAGTCAATAACAGTAACTGCTACACATACACGTGAGTCAGTAACAGTAACAGCTACACATACAGGCGAGTCAGTAACAGCTACACATACAGGCGAGTCTTATCTACCACTTCGAGTTCATTTATCGGTCATTTATTTCTCTTCCATTTGAGCAATTTTGTCATTTTGTTTACCCATTCGAATACATTTATCATTTTTTAATCCGTCACTCATGTAGTGTTGTCATCTGTCCATCGAGTCATCCTAGTGTTAACGTGACCAACTCTGTGGCTGTACTAACTATGCTGGTCTTGTTTCACACTTTAAGGGGTAATACATACTGTACATTATAACCTTTACTCTTTAATTAGTATAATGATGTTTTAGATCACCTGAACAATATCCAACCCAACTTATTTCATCTTAAAGTTTTATTACCTTGACCTAACCCAACCCAACCCGACCCAACCTAACCCAACCCAACCCAACCCAACCCAACCCGACCCAACCCGACTCAACCTAACCCAACTCAACTTAAGATGTTAGGATAGGTTAAGTTAGCTGAGGAACGGTTATGTATGGATAGATTAGGATAGGTTAGTACAGGATAGGTTAGTACAGGATAGGATACGTAAGTTGTGATTAGGTCTCTCTCTCTCTCTCTCTCTCTCTCTCCACACCCAATGATCCATACACACAGATGGTTCAAGATAGACCAACTGAGAGAGAAAGAAGAACACAAAGATGGTTTAAGGCACCAGCTGGGAGATGGTTGTGGTCCACTGTGACGGACTAACGTAGAGACGATCATGGCGAGGACTGAAGGTGGCGATAACGAGATCACTGGCGATAAGGACGATAACACGAGGCGATAACCACAATCAGATGATCACACAACCCCGATTTAACTATATTGGCAGGCAGTTTCTATATTGTGGCAACTCCTATAGTGTGGTGGCAACTCCTATAGTGTTGCAACTTCCATGGTAACTCCTATAGAACTGCAACTTCGTTATTGTGGCAACTCATATACTGTACTGTGGCAACTCGTGTGATGTAACTCATATTGTCACAAATCCTTAACTATGGCATTTTTTTTTCTTACTGTGGCAACTCCGATACTCTATGTCAACACTCACTCTGGCAACCCTTATTGTATCGACTTGTTACTATGGCTACGTCCACCATGGTAATTCATCTACATGGCAAGAAATTGTTTGGGGTAAACTGCACTATGACAACTTTTATTAGCGGCAAATCATATTCATGGCAACTCTTTAATCGTAATATATTTCCTCGAGGCAGTATGGCAATATGCAACGTGGAAATACTGCATCATGGCAACCTTGCATATTGGTAATTCTCGCTCCTATTCTTGGTCTTGACAACCCCTAATTGTGGCAACTCTAAAGTCCTAAACCTTGAGTTGGCAAGTCAAGAGTACCAACCTTTCAATATGGCAACTCAAAAGTACCAACTCTTCCGTATGGTAATTCAACAGCAGCAACCCTACAGTATGACAACTCTACAGTACCAACTTCATTTTGGCAACTCAGCAGTACCAACCCTTTGATATGGCAACCCAACAGTGACAACCTTTCAGTAAGGCAACTCAATAGTAACAGCCATTCAGTTTGGCAACCCTCAATCGTACCAACCCTTAAATATGGCAACTTAACAGTACCATCCTCTTCAATATGCCAACTTAATAACAAACAGTACTAATCCTTCAGTATGGCAACTTTAAAAGAGTTCGAACCTCCTTGATACTACCACTAATAAGAGTACTAACCTTTCATTATGGCAACTTTGATCAGTACAGGCAGATATATGGATTAGTGACAATTTATCAAGAATAAATATGACAACTAAAGCGAGGGAGAATTAGCACAAGATCCTTACATTATAGTTTATAAATAAGAATTACTTAATCTTCTCTTAGGCTTTGAAATTGTTCGTTTAAGTTAATTCATAAAAGTTCCTGCAATGACTATTGGTCCTAACTGTTGATACAAGACCAAACCTAACCTACCTTAATTTTATCTACGAATGGGTTCAACTAAAGGTCATTAGTTAAGGTAGAATCTCAGTGTAATTTTGACGTTATTATTGAATGTAATTTTTGTGCATAATTACATCTTTAATGACGAGAGAATATTCACTGGAATCTTTGTGCATTCTCGTCGTGATTGGTGGAGCTGCCGCATCTACTTTACCTTACCTCACACCTCACCAGGAAGGAGAGGCGTTTCTACAACACGAGTGAGAGATATTGAAATTTGAGTATCCTGGCCATCACCTTAGGAGTTCCCCCCTGCCGGCCAACTCGGGTACTGCACGTGGTAGGAATCAGCAACCTTCGGAACTAAGTGACAGGCGCACCTCCCACTCAATCTTAATTTTGTTGGTTGTAGCTCTTATGAGAACGTTACCCCCACTATTATAACTTTCTTTTAACCTTCCTTTTCACACCTCTGTAACCCTGAGTTTTTGCTGTCCTCTTGTTCCACCTTAATACACCCCATGTTGTACTGCTTCCCCTTATCATATTTATGTATCTCAACACCACTGTAAAACATGTACGAGTATATACTTATAATATAAATGTAAAAAAATAAATAAATATATAAATATCGAAATGATAACCGTGGTAACATTATGAGATGTTCCTATTACCACCATGCTATTGTACTATTCCAGATGATTCTAAATGTTACATAATACTTCCTTGAGATAAATGTACAGCATACAGTATATCAGGTACAGCTCAGGTTCTCAACTGGCTCAGTCATGTTAATATTATGATCCTTATCGACTCTGTATCTGTGTTCTTCTGGCTAAATAACTGTTTCAATATCAATATCTATATCAATACGGCTCGTTCTGCCGTAGAGGATCAATGTATATATACAGCACACAGTGTACCAAGTCTTCAGTTCATAAGGAGGCAGCGTGAGAGGCACTACACTCGAGTGTCTCAACTCCCCCAACCTATACAGTATACTGTTCAGCTGGGAATATTACGGGTGCTCTGAAGTCGAATTTGGGTACACTGAAGGCAGGAGGCAAACGTTGACTACACTCGGTATAATTAATTACAAGGATGATTATAATATACAAATTATTTACATATGTACACTTGCCAACAAAAGTCCTGTCGTGTTACCTGCCTCTTCATGAACCCAAGCGACTGGACTTCTGTTGGCTAGTGTACCATAAACATAAGAGGATACCCGAACACCCTCACCAACACGATGTTTCGCCGCGTTATTACGAAGCACATGAGTAGACCCGCCTTGTTACATAGTTATTACTCGTGTTGGTCTCCCGTCACACTGTCCCAACGCTGCCATTAAGTATAGGAGCGTTATTTATGGCACAGATCAAGCCAAAGATCACGTCACACCTTTACGTCAGGTCCTGTATACTCTCCTGTTATTTACGTGGCGATAAAAGGAGATGCTGCATATCTCATCAAAAGCTCCTGGTGACC